GGCGTTCTGCCTCCTATTGCTACCCTTACTAGGGTCTAATTTCACGGATGACAATTCAACATACCTCCTGTAACTCTCTGGTAAAAAATAGACCTTAACTAAATAATGGCGAAAAAATGGCACTAGCTCTCCTAATAAAACTATCAAGTTCAAAAATGCTAAAATTTTTCATGTAGATTAGACAAAAGCAAGTAGCAGTGGCACCACTTATGACGGCAACATAGCATACGAGTTTAAAATCACTTTCCTCCGAGTTCGGGATTGATGCTGTACGGTTACGTGCATATTGTATTGAAACGGTGACAGGTAACAAGATCAAAGTAAATAAGGTCAATTGACACCAAGGTGTATTTAACAAGTTGGCGTTGGCCGTATATAAGTAAAAAATTACACTAACAAAATATACGCAGATATCCATACTGTCAATGGTATGAGTTACGACAAACACATAATTTTGACGTAATGCCCTCCACGGCGAAAAACTCAGCTGTCGCCCCAACACAACCTTGTTAAATACACCTTTATTGACACTATTTCACATACTAGGGCGAAATAAAGTCAATTGACATTATTACCTTTACAACAAACAATTGGAACAAAAATTTGGAAATAAAGTAAATTATGCTATTTTCTCATTCAAATGGAAAAGAAAAAAAATTTTGTTCTTGCTACGCACCCTATTATATACGGATACACGATACGGCTCCTCAACTTGTAAAACAGAACATGTCATAACAGAGTTGTTTTCATTTTGAAATACAGCACTTATTATTATTTTGTGAACGCAACTGTGCATAAATATGCGCACAAGTATAAGTAAGACACAATCTTTACCTTGGAATCAGGGCCGGCCGCAGGATTTCTCTTTGGGATGCGTTTATGTATGTCTTTCGTAACAACCAAGAATATCATTGTTTTATTTAGAGTATGCAGCAAAATTGTATTTAATTGTGGATAAAATTCAGCACAACTCAAAGAAGAGTCACATGCAATTCACCGAGGTATAATTAAAAATTCTTTTAACCCTCCGCCACTGACGAGGTAGTCTAACAGAAACCGAAGGTTCGACATTTTTCCCGAGCTTAAATAGCTTCGATTAACGCCTATTTTTCGACATATCGCACGTTTAATAATATATATAATTAATTCAAAATTTCAATTTTATGAGAAAACGAAATCAAAGTTTGACAGTTGGTATACAAAAAGACAAAGGAAAAGGCACATATGTATCTACGCCATTTTTTTGGAAAGCTTGGTCATCTGTTAGGCTGAACATATTCTCCTAATCAAGCTTATTAAATGTATGGTCAAATCTCCAAAAACGTAAATTTTGAACTATATCTCTATATTATTAAACATGCGATATAGTTTATTTATATGACTATTTCATTAATGAGTACTTAAAATATTGATAGAATTTCCAATTTAAATCGAAAAAAGTTTATTAATATATATCTAACATATATATTTTGATTTGGTGTCAATAAAATAGGGACATTTCGGACACGTCAGTAGCAGAGGGTTAATACTGAGTCAACATTAACATCCAGATTGCGATGAATTGTGGGAAAAGCTGGCCCACTGTGTGCACGTCTCTGCCCATGCCTGCACGTGATTGATGAAATTCATTGAATTATTTTGCAAAACTAAGTAGGGGACGGTAAATGTTAAAACTGTTTTTGATAGCCTTTTTTGGTGCTCATTACGATCCGTAAGCATTGAGTTTCCGTCAGCTCCAGATTAAAAAAAAACGAGGTCAAAGAGTAAAAAATCGCGTTTTTTGCAAAATTTTACGTAGAAGCTCTAGAAGCTCTATCTCTGAAAATACTTTTAATATACTTTTAATTTTTTTTTTATTTTAGAAAAAAATTAGGAACAAGTTGAATCAACCTTTTGAACGTTTATTATACTAGGTTCCCAAAAGAAGTATTATTGACGTTGGTTATTGTGGTACACCAACTGTACATTGAATGCTTGTACAAAATATGTATATCTTTCTAAGGATTCCAGAAAATTAGAAAATAATAAACTATTATAAAATTATTAGCGCCAATAGCTGACACTACGAAAATTCAAATAAGCCACAATACCCGCTAGTGTAATATTTTAATTTTGTACGTTTCAAAAAATAAATAATAAACATTCATAATCTAAAAAGATACATTTTTGGTACAAAAACTTGTAATGTGCAAATATAGGACCTGACATAAAAGGTATGTTTCATAAAACGCATGTTTCATAAAGTGCACGCAATCCTTGCACCGAAAGGGGTCAAAATCCAATGCATACCGGCTTTCCCCCCGTGCGGCCGGGTCTGTGTGGAATAATACGTGGCGCCGATTTGAAAAAGAAAAAAAAACATGTTTTTAAAAGAAACAAAACTAGCGGATTTAGAAGTCATAAAGCGCTAAATCAAGCATAAAGCCCCTCAAACATTTGTATTGCATTCATACATATGTACATAAGTGTGTACTATGTACCTGGACAAGAGACACGCAGCAAACAAAATTGCTGTGTATATATGTATGTACATACGTATGTATGTATGTATGTCTGTTGGTTAGGGCTGCCATACGTCCCGGTTTTCCCGGACATGTCCCGATTTTAGACTATTTGTCCCGGTGTCCCGGTCCAACCTTAAAATGTCCCGGGTTTTGTTTAAGTGTCCCGGTTTTCGATTTGATTGCACAAATTTTGCATAAAAATGACTACACAGAGAAAAAACGCGTTGTAATATTAAAAAAAAATTTATGAATTTACTGGGGGAAATAACGCATAGTAAACATGAATATTTTTTATTTGATTATCGTTTTGAAATGTTCGTACTTAAAAACCATACTTTCATACCACGCACACGTGGAGTTGAATCAAACTGAACATTTGAATGCACATTTACATGTCTGGCTGTAGCTGAGTGCACGAAGATGCTTGCCGCAATATGCTAATTTCCAGAGCGTCAGGGTTCAAATCTCATTACAGACAGCATAGAATTTAAATATATTTTTTTTACCTTAATTATGAAAAAGCATCCGTTAAGTGCAAAGCGCTTCATTTTAATATTGGCGTATTTCAATTGAATATTTTTTTACTAAAAACTAAAATTTGTATACTTAAATTTATTACGAGATGGGTTGGTGCTCTTTCATATGCGATTTTTTTTTAAATTTAGCACATTTGGCACAAGCAATAGTTGATGATTAATATAAGTATGTACCTAAATACGTTAAAATGACATGCACAGAGTTTTACAATTATATTAAGCAAAAGCCAGAAGTTTTGAAACAAGCTCACAGCAACGAAACAAATGACTGATATTTTAATGTTACCTTGTATTTAATTTTTTTCTTTCGTGAAACCTAAATTACTTATAAGTACCGTGCCGTACAAAATTATTGGCTCGGAGACTCTATCACCTGATCACAATTTCTAATCAGATCTTTTAGAAAAATTTTGAAAATGTAGCTTTTGAGCCTATTAGTAAAGTGCAAGTCTGAAGTTACCAGAAAATTTCGTTGATTTTTTGCAATTATTTATTTTTTGTTGACAGTGTCTTCCACATACAAAAAAATGTCGAACATAGGGTGAATTCCAAAACGTCAAAATACAAAGCATCAGTCTCTTTTATTTCTAGACCTCAGTAGATTTTAATGCCAAATGTGCGCAACCACGGTTAGATGCTAGCTTTCTACTAGGTTGCGCAACTTAGGCTTTTTCTTCTAGTGTGGTTTAGAAATAAAAGAGACTGATGCTTTGTATTTTGACGTTTTGGAACGCACCCATAGTTTGTATGGAAGAAACTCTCAGTAAAAACAATACCAAAAATCAACTAAATTTTTATGGGCTGCAAAACTTCATTTTCAAAATTTTTATAAAAAAGTCTGAATCGAAAGTTGCGAATTTCATGTGCAAAATTATTGCATTTTCCCGAGTTTTGCACAAAGTTTAGAGATTTTATTTTTATGTTTTCTGATGTATTTAGTATAAACTGTATTTTTATAAGGAACAAAAAAGGTACATGCATTGTGGAAAATTCTCTCTTAGTTGTGATAAATTGTTTTGTTTTGCTGGTGTACGTTGTAATGATCTCATGATCTCATTTTTTTATGTTTTTAAGTGTCCCGGTTAGGCAACAGAGATATCTGGCAGCCCTACTGTTGGTGCATATGGAAGAGGCGCCACTTTGTTTATGTTAAATATCAGTGATAGCATGTACATATATAAGTATTTATGAATACAAACTTACATATATATGGATGTGTGTATGTGTGTACATTTATTGTCTCGCCTTTTCTAAGCTGCTACTGTCTCGTGTTCCTCTATAACAACAGGTGTTAAAGGTTTTACATTGAAACAAGTAAACAATACAGTAAACGTACACAGATACATACATATATTGTGCACATATCGCCTCTTCATATTGAATATTTTATTTTGCATTTTTACACATAAAATTCTTTATTCGTTTTTAAACGACCTCAAACCCTGCCCGCACGGCTCTTATTCAAGGTTCAATGTCCATTTTTAGATCAGTCTTTCATCGCGCTGGTCGTCGTCCGCCTACTTTCTAGTTACTTTACATCTGCAAATTTCTTCATATTTTTTTGCTAGTTCCCTAACCATCTAAACTAACCACTTTTCGTAGCGCAGACTCGACTGCTTCCTCTGTTGCATTCTTTTATTTATATCTTTATGCTGGCGGTAGTCCGAAGGCGAGCGTAGCCAAAGGACATTGTTGTCTACCTGTGCTCACGATCGCGTCGCCCGACGTCGTTTTGTAAAATGAATAGAAGGACTCGCCTTTGTGGTGCCAACCGCGATTAGGGAGGGCGCACGCAAATCTGATGTCCTTGGCCAGGCGACATTTGCTTAAAATGTACATACAGACATACATATGTACATACAAGCTAACATGATGACAAGTGCATAGCCCGCTGGTATAAAAGCGGTTTCGTCTATCGAAGAATTTTCAAACGAGATTTAGTGTTTGAGAAGATAGCAACATGTCTTCGACGGTGCAACAATTCCCGGCATATGTTACGAACGGAACGTTCTTTAGCGTAACAAAACCGATTTATAAAGAAGTAAGTAAAACATACATAAATATAGTATATCGTCATTTGCAATGCAGAAAGACGTAACAAGATCGTAACTGAAATGGAAAAAATCGTGACCAATAACTTTTTTTTAGTAAATGATGTGGGATTTGTAATTCGGTAAAATCTATCTATCAATCAAAAACTGAAATTTTTATGAGTTACGACTTTTTGCATTTCAGTGACCATGTTTGTTACCGCATTTCAGGTGATAATATGTAATTCTCATAATATATGTAGTTCAAACAAACCGTAAAAAATTCACCATTTCAGATAACGAATCATACAAGCCCTACCAGTCGAGTGTCGCCTAGTCAAAATGCAGCATTGAACAGCTACGGACACAAAGGAGTACTACATTCCCTGCCACATAACCAATCGAATAATAAATCGGAACCTGCAGCAGTAGCTTTGGAAAATAAACAGAAGCGCTCACGTACAGCATTCACCAGAACTCAAATATTAGAGTTGGAATGTGAGTTCAGAAAAAATGTCTACCTCTATCGCACACGCCGCATCGAAATTGCCAAACGTTTGTGTCTACGTGAACGACAGGTAAAGATATGGTTCCAGAATCGTCGCATGAAGGAAAAGAAAGATTCTAAACTCCCTAATTGTAATGACAAATTAACTGCAAAGGACTCCCAAACTTTGAGCGAGCAAATTACACACAGAGGCATCGTGCAACGTCTTATGTCATATTCCATTGATCCTTCCATAAGACGTCAGATGGGAGTAAGTGACGGAGTTTACAATCCGAAAATGTCGCGCGCCGTAAAGTGTGCAGTCGATTTAGAACCCGCAGCACGAAATGGAGCTCCGCCGTTATCAAGCCTATCTCCGGATCTTGGTGAAATCTTACATCATCTAAGCCAAACCACGCACATTTCAGCGGCGCTGTCCTCAAAGGAAGTGGTTGGGAGTGAATCCATGTTTAAAAACTTGAGAGAAGCTCCGCACGATGATAGCTCCAAAATAAAAGGAAGAGAAGGAACGCAAGCAGCACAGCAGAATGAATATGAATCAAATGGCTGTCCCTCTGAACCGGCGTCTGTCTCATTGCTCAAACCATCTCTTAACTTTTCTTGGTGCGAACCATTAAATTGGCTGCTGTCAGAGAATAATTTTTAGCAAATTAATAGTGAAAACTGGCTTAATAAATGTTAGATAATAAATTATTTTAATATTTATCAAATTACTGCATTTACTATAAAAATATATGTAAGTATCCTATTATTTCAGTACATAAAAGATTTTCCCTTGTTACTGAACGATCTCCTTCGGATTTGTTCACTCGTTAAACTCTTTATTTTGAAAGACAGCCCTTGCTGTTTTACAACTTTCACTAATCCCTCTTTGTCCGCTTTAGCTTCTCATTCGCGTTTTCGCAGTATACATTGGAATATGAACAAAATGAATTTCAAAACTAATACATAGTTTTTCAAATTACTCGTATGAACATGAGTGCGTCGCAGGGTCGCACTAGCCAATGCCCGCTTAATTCACGGCGCCTAATAAGAACTTTTGCGTTGGCCAATGCAAACGAGCGCTTAAAATCAAAAACAGTCTGTAAAGTCAAAATATTTGTTTAAGTTAAAACCACTAAGGCGCAGTGTCTCCTCACACATACGCTAACAATAGTAACGCTGTGATACCATACGGAATATCAATCCCTTTCGGTGTCATGAGCCTTGCCGATGGTCTTGTTTCCACCTGTGAGATCTCTGGCAAGCATACATAATCTTTTTTCTATGATCTTGCAACTACAACATTGGTGCGATACGTATGCCAATAAAAGTTCTTATAAGGAAACTCAAGAGCACAGAAGTGCGTTTTCTGTTATAGGAGGGCCAAGAATCCTCGCTGTCCCACAGGATGAAAAGTTTTCCGGTACATTGGGTAAATAAGTCGTGTGAACTCTTGAATATCTTTCAAATGAAGCAATTGCTATAACTGATATTTCCTTGTTAATTCGCCACTTTTACAATTCGTGGTAATATTTATGAACTGATTTCGTAGATGCAAGATCGCATGATCGTGCATGAGGGCGTCAGATAAACTTAACCCCATCCTTCATTTAGACATCTGAAAACTAAATTCTTATAACTTAAACATAGGGCCAAAGCAGACCAACCACATATACATTTCGGCTGCAGCGCCATCCATTGGGTCAATTTTTTGCAAAACCATTGCTTACCATAAAATGAATACGCGTTATGAACTGTGATCGGACTTAAAAAGAATTCTGTATCGTAGAATCTGGAAAAAAATGTGGTGGTTTTTTAAAATGCACCTCATTGTCAAAAAAACCTTATAAATCCGAATTTCAAACTCTGTGCAAAAATTAAAAAATTGTTCAATGTTTCACATAAATTACAAACTTTTCCATTAGAATCTCCAGAAAAAAGCTTTTAAATTTTAGTACATGTGCAAATTTTAAGTTGCTAAAAACTGCGTTGAGTTAGGGAAATTTTTTTCTTGACATTTTCTTTATTAATTCTTTTTATAAATCATATATTTTGCATTCTAAGATAATTGAAACACGTTTCCTGTCGAAAAATTTAATATTAAGAAAAGTTACTGTTTGAAAGTTTTTTTTTTTTATTTTATCCTCCCATTCTTTGTTTACTTTTAAATCTGTTAATGAGATGAGATTTAAACATCGCCGCCGGGAATGCGAAATCTTGTATTCTCATTATTGTTACCACATTGTGTTTAGTGCTGGACAATTTTTGCTCCCAAAATTTAAAACAAAAAAAATTATGTCGAGCAAAAATTAAACTACTCCAAAACGCGAATATGTGGTAGACTTCAGACCTTGTGTGGTAGAAAAGGTAGAAGGTCAAACAAATTTTAGATCTACCACAAAGTGGTAGAAGTCCGATCACTGGTTATGAATTTCAACCTCGACTCCAGCGGCACTCTTCTTTTTCATCATACAGGTGCATAGCTCACAGTTAAAATTTGAACGAAATCGGTTAGTAAATACGATTTTTATAAATAACTACTCCAGCTCCACCTAGCGAGTTTTCTAGTAGCATATAATAGGACCATATATGTAAGATATCCTCCGATAATCATACGGAACTCCATTCAGTGATTTTTGAGTTTAGTCCGAACAACGAAAACGGCTATCATTTTATGCAAATAGGTATGTAGATAGGACAGTCTATAACGAAACTCGAAAAATCTTTGCTCCATTCTTTGTGCAAAATTAAAAAAATATTCTTCAAAATTTTCTCATAAGTTTTACCTTTTACTAAAAATTAAAAACAAAGTTACAATAGTTCAATGGGATTTAGAAATCTAGGAGAAAATGGTTCCCAATTTATTATTCTCAAATACTTTTGTTTAATACATTTAATACATATAGCAACATTAAAGTTATCTTGGCAATTTAATTGAATTAAGGTTTTCAAATAGGTGGCAACCCGCTTCAAAAATTACAATTTTATTATAAGTATAGATATAGATTTAATTTATTTTATCAATTTAATACAATACAATTTTTCAACCAGGTGGCAACCCTCCTCAAAAATATTTTCGACAGTAAAATTTTCTAAACCTTTTCAATTTTATACCCATATTGCAATATTCAATTTATCTTATAAATTAAATTAAATTAAAATTTTTAAACAGGTGTTAACTCTAAAAAAATATTTTTGGCTGTAAGCCTTCTTAGCCTCTTTCTTTTGGCGCCAATACTATAATATTCACTTTTTCTTATCAATTTACTTAAACTCCAATTTTCAAACAGGTGGCAACTCTAAATTTTTTTTCTTTCTATATTTTAAGTTAGACCTCTAGCAATATATCGGTGAAAACTGCATTCTATTCCATGCATTCGTTTTCGAGTGATGCGCTTGCAAACATACAGATGGACAGACAAAAATTTAAAAAATGGTTGTTTTCGCTTCTGGTGCTCTAATAAAGACCCCCCCCCACATTAATTTTTCTTTAATATCTATAATGTACAGACATCGCCTTGTTACAATTTTATTATATGTATAGTTGCGAAAAAATTATATATGTACATATGTATATATGTATGCATCGGCGTAGCCAGAATGAAATTTAGGGGGGGGGGGGGGGGCTCGACTCTATTAAGCTGGCATTTCAGGGTACTATTTTATATATATATAAGGAAAATTTGAAAGTTAGGGGGGGGGCTCGAGACCCCCCCTGCCCCTACCTGGCCACGCCCATGTATGTGTGTACATATCGTCGCTATCGAATGTGCAAACATGCTTTTTCATTTACGATACCTTGCGCATGCGTTTAGAATGATACATAAGTTGGCGAATCGTCGAATTTCTAGTCTTCATAGAAGCATAGGGTGCTGGCTTTAACAAAGTGTCGAATCTCACACTTTTTACTAATGATAACATTTTTTGCAACAGTTTCTTTGTTCTCCTGAAAATTACGTATTTTCACATTCGATAGTTTGACATGGTAGCGACGATATGTATAACACATAGCAACATGGTCATTTTTTCTGAGGAAAGGCTAGACATTTCTAATGGATTTGGGTTCGCAAGAAGTGGATGAGTATCCTTTGATACATTTTGTTGTTCAAAATATTATCATAGTGTAATAATTGCATCTGCTTGACTCGATCCACTTTTTCCTTTCAGAGTCTTTTCCAGAAAGTCAAAAAAGGAAGATCGTCTTGCCGGTTTTTTTTGTACTTCAGTAAAATTGTCGTCTTTCTGATCCTTTGTCATTAACGCTGCAATTTCTTGCTCAAGATTTTTGCTAGCTTCATTGACATTTGTGGTTGACTGGAAACCCTCTTTCTTCATAAGGCTAAACGTTTGGGAACGGAGACTACCAAAATCGAGCAAAGTGCACAAGCCTCTGATTTTGTTAAACTCCCTTGCTTTGTATCCAGTTTTTCGAATATTCCAAAGGACATTGGGATTATTAGAGAGATAGTAACGTAATAAATTCCGAAAATCTGTAAAAATGAAAAAAAATGTTTTATTTGATTACCGTTTAAAAATATTCGTATTTAAATCAAGTGAAAAGTGTTAACAAAATGGATTTTTCTATTATACATACACTACGTACACAAGAATGATAGAATACAAGATTGCGCCGATCAGAGAGGATTTTTGAGAATAACTTTTGTGTGACGTCACACTGATGCAATTGCGAGAGAGAAATGCCCAAACGCGAGCAAGAATGGAAGAAGAAAAAATGTTGCAAGGAAAACGTAAACAAGTAGCACAAGT